AGTGTGAATAGTATACTTTTCTCACTGCTTAATTATTGGATCAATCCGCCAATGACGTCATCACACCCCATATAAGGGGCTGATAGCCCATTCACTCTGTGCATTTACTGGAAACATCCGCCCTCCGGGGAGTGCGGTGGAGACAGGTCCCTGAAGCAGTGAGCGGGAGGAAGGTCGAAGCCAGCTTGAATACAGCAGGCATTTTTGATTCCCCCCCACACCCCACCCTGATAATAATAAGTGGATATGAAGGGACTTGTTTTCATTGCGCGACTCCGGCACTGCTCCATAACTCATTAAGGATGATCCAGTGATTACGCAGTGTGAATAGTATACTATTTTATTTTGATGTGTCAAGTTGGCAGGAGTGGGTTGGTGGGAGCACTTGGACAGTAACCTGTCGTGGGTAGCTTGGCACATCCTTTTTCTATTCCCCTTCCTTTGTCTATGTCTCTGTCACGTCGAAAAGTTGGAAAAAAAAAAGAAAATAGTTAAAAAACCTCCTGTCTCTCTTGTCTAGTTTTCACTCTTTTTTGATTTTGTTATACCCCAATTAAAAACGGGAAGCCATACTCCCGGCAGACCTACTTGGCACACTGGGTCTAAATTCTAAATATCTCCTCCCGCATTAGGCGTTTATATAGAGGGCTTCGCGTGGACGAAGGGGTTTGGGTGGATAATGGTAGCGGACAAATACGGTTTCTCCCGAAATCTATCGCCAAATAAACGCCGGACTCTGGGGCACCCAGGGTTAACCGCCAGGCGTGCTAACAGCAACACAACAACCCGCCCCCCACGTAACCACTAACCAGCGTGCCAGGCCCTGCAGCGTGCCTTTGCCGGTACTGTGGGGCCGGTAAATTCGGTGGCCAGCTGGATACGCGCGCCAGGGGCTGTTCTTGTTAGCGGGCCGGCTAGCTGAACCGGCCACACCAGCGGTACTTTCCTGGATTTGTTCCATTTGATTTCGAAGTTGTTGAAAGAATAAATAATGGATAGAGATCAACTTCTTTTTGTCTTTTTATTGTCTTCATCTTATGTAACCGCCTTCGTATTTCAGACAGCTTATGCATGAAATTCGCTTGTATTTATATTTTGAACATGTCTAGTTTTGACATATATCTGCTGGAGTACTCTGTATTGATAACTGTTAGCGTGATGATAGCCGCCATCGTGAAACGCCTAATCTGCAGTACAGTAGCATATGCCTTCTGACTGGTTAAACAAATGAAAACAAAGAAGAAATCATGTCAATAGAGCCCAAAATGGAAGATTTAAAAAATACCTGTCAATAGTGCCAAAAATGGCACTGCTGACAGGACGATCCTGTCAACAGTGTCAAAAATGGCACTGCTGACAGGACGATCCTGTCAGCAATGCAGTATTTCCTGTTATTGACAGGATCGTCCTGTCAGCAGTGCAATATTTTCTGCTATTGACAGGATCGTCCTGTCAGCAGTGCAGTATTTTCTGCTATTGACAGGACGATCCTGTCAGCAGTGCAGTATTTCCTGCTGTTGACAGGACGATCCTGTCAATAGCCTCAGGCTTCCTGTATTACTAGGGCCAAAGAGTCACGACAGTGCTGCAAATCGTCAGATTGACGTGAAACCCGTAACGCGAAATGGGCCCGGGCCGGGTAAAGAGCACATGTGCCGCAAAATGATGTGCGCACAAGAGTCCGCGCGCCACATTTCAAAGAAGCAAGATGGTGGGCTCACCACCCTTGGTCGCTAATATGTGACCGTTCAGGTCGCACAAGCGTGCGGAAACATTATTGTTGACAGGTACGCGCTCGATGTCGGCCAGGGAGAGCTATCTTTCGCGCAACTGTTCGAGAGACTTGTAGCGGCGAGTGATTTTCGACCATACAATTTCAAGCAAGTTTTGTCAAGATCAGCTACAGTGCAAATATTCTTCTACAATGACGAGAAGGTCGGGAGAGGCATTGATGTTTACTCCGGCAGTTCGGGTGTTTTATCCGTATGGTGATCGACAAGACAGCTGCTACGACTGAAGCTGTTCCTAGGCCTAAGACTGCTTTTGAGGTATGAAAAGTCTGTTTTGAATCGAGTACCTTGTACGGAAAAAACACGGGTGAAATATTCCTAGAAGGGGAGTATAAAATAAATGCATACTTGTATCAAGGCTCCTTGCATGTATTTTGTATGGATAATGATCGTTTATTCGTTTCTGGTTATTTATACTTGATGTTGGCAAAATATGTGGGGTTTTTTTATTCTTAAATTTTTGGTCCACATTTGGCACGTAAATTGCTAATTTTCAGTCGGATATCATTTGTAAGGTATTTTGGCATCTATAGCTGTAAACAAACTACGCATTCAAGCTCTTTTTGAAGTACTATTTTTTTGGGGGGGGGGTTAGTCTTTCTTAACTAACAAGAATTCTTTTTCCCCATCATTTTAACTTTGATATCCAATTTAGTAACGTTGTCAGCTCTTCCATTTCTTTGATTGCATTAAGACACATTGTGAACTAGAAACAGAACTTTTCTTTTCACATGTACATGTACATATGTATACAGGTATGATGAAAGCATCAAGAGAACAAGGTCAGCAGGAGTGGATGTTTCCAGCCTATGCTGGGACTGAGAGCACACAACAATGTAGCAATAACAACACAGGTGAGTAATGAGGTACATTTGATATGGATTGTTGCAGAATATACCCTTTAAATTTAAGGCACTTTGGGGACAGTAAAGACGTACATTTAACTACAACATAGAACCTAAAGCTTTATGTTGAAAAAATATTATTTTTTTCTGAAGAGTTGGATTTTAGCACAATTGACTATTGTTCCATATTTTTCCACCTGTTTCATGTAGGGCAGTGACATGCACTTCACCAGTAGCACAGTACTACTATTCAGCCAGACTGAAGTCAGGGGTGATGAAGACGATGCTGCCTTTGGTGTGCTGGAACTGCGGCGAGGAGGAAACGCTGCCCATATCGACAGAGAAGACTGCTGCATACCAGACAATAAACCCTGTTTGTCAGGTAGGCATACATTTGTTACTTACTTAAATACATTATGCAACTTATGTAGAATAGCTCTAAACATATTTTGTTTGGTTCCACCTTTATTGATATTCTTTCTCAAAAGCTCCTATAGACTATTTGCAGAGGTAGAAATGCAGTAATGCATGCAAAGGGTTAATCAGCAACTAATTTTGCCTTTTATGCTTTGTTTCTGCAGGCCTGCAAAAATGTGACAGGACGACAACTGCTGTTCCAACTGATTTATTACTGTTTTGATGATGAATAAAAGACTTCTGCTTGTTACACTGTGTCACCTCATTCAATTTGCGTCCTAACATTTGTCGTCTCTTAGTATATTTCTAATCTAGGCATCTTGTTTTTTTGGGCCCTTCTTGTTTTTTTCGCCCTCTCGCATTAGATTTGGAGTCTCCAAAGGACGTCATCCATAAAATTTACTTGGTGTGGCCTTATATCCAAAAACATGCTTTATCCAGAACCATGCTCAGAACTGTGCCTGGGGCAAGTCTATGTTCTTGAATACGCAGAGACTATCCCGAACCGTGCCTGACCTTAGCTCATTCATGCATAGAACTAGATGGAAGGGGGTGAAGTCTGCCATCTCTGATGCTTTCTTTCCAGCCCAGAAGAGTTGAGCAGAGTGCAGTCTGGGTAAGGGGGTGAAGTCTGCCATCTCTGATGTTTTGTGTCTTGTGTTCCCAGCCCAGAAGAGTTAAGTCGAGTGCTTGTGGAGTGGCTGGACAAGGTTCACCAGACTCCCGACTGGAGGGAAGCCAGGATGAGGAGACCTCGGCTCTGAGACCTGCGGGAGACCCACCAAAGACGTACCGAAGACCTGACAGAGATCTGACAGAGACCCATCGAAGACCTGCCGGAGACCTGACAAAGACCTTACAAAGACCTGCCAGAGACCTGTCGGAGATTTGCCAGAGACCTGACAGAGACCTGTCAGAGACCTGCCGAAGACCTCAGCTTCAAGACCCATTGAATCCAGAACTGTGCTTAATCCAAAACCATGATAAAGAACTGTACTGTATCCAGAACTGTGCCTGCAGAAAATCTATGCTGTTGGATACGGGGAGACTATCCAGAACTGTGCCTAATCCTAACCTTATCCTGTTCAGATTCTTGATATGAAAAGGAGTTGCAGAGAATGGTCACATTGGACTACAAACATGTTGCTCAATGCTTGTGTCAATAGGAAAATAATATAAGTGACCAACAAATAGTGGCCATATTGGCCAGAAGTGGATGCTACTACAGAAATGACTGTATGTTGTATATTTGTAATTTATATTTGCTGAATATGTTGATTCATACAAACATATGAAGATAATGGATCCCCAACATGCTGCTTGTGTTTGATGAGTTTTTTTATGAAATAGACTGAATGCTAAAGAGGAGAGATGAAAAACTCTGCCAGGATTCTTGTGTGAATCACAAAGTCTGACTTTGGTTGCTTGATGATGGAAACTTTGAAAACATTCACATGAAACAACTATTAAAGTGTGGAACAGCCTTTGGGATTTTCTGAATCAGTTTCTTTTACTCACTAACCAGTAGGCACTTTTATGACAGATATTTTCCTTATGCTGCTATCATGTCCTAACTCCTATATGTAAAAAAGTAAATTCACCTGTACACATACATATAATATCATACACTTCATATTATGTATAAGTGTCTATACTTCATCCCCAAAGTGAGAGGGATGAGAAAAAAGTATGAATAAAACAATTAAGTAAGAATAAACAGAACTTGTCTGCAATAACCAGAACTTGTCCGCCCGGACAGTGAGTTCAGCACCAAGGACAGAGCCGGTCTTTTTCTGTCTGTTTCCTCACGCCTGCCCGGGGTACGTTAGATATGGTGTTCAACCCTTCCAGTCCACAGACACGCCGTACATTCTGGGTTTATGAGCAAATCAGCACATTTTTCAGCAAGGAACGATCTCTACACTAGTCCAGAAGCGCCATCCTTTTTTCTCAAACCTAAACTAACCACACAGTAACGTTAGCTTAGCCGATAGTAGATAGTAGATTCTTTCAGCCAGGTAGGTATCCATCCAGTTTAGGCTGCTCGTTGCTCTACCGGACTGTTATTCCCGGCCTATGCGGGCAATCCAGGGCCGTATGATTATACATAATTGGATGTCTCTCCATGTGTTTGTCAAGTCTGTTCTTAAAGGCATTTACCGAGGGTGCAGAGACCACTTCTTCAGGAAGACTGTTCCACCAGTTGGCCATTCGGTTTGTAAAGAATAATGCTCTTGTATTCCCCTTGAAGGTCTTCCTTGCTATTCTCAAGCTATGACCTCTTGTCCTTGATTCTGCTTTTTGTTGGAACAGATTCTGTGTATCAAACAGACCATGCATGTATTTATACGTGTTGATTAGGTCTCCCCTAATTCTCCTGTAGACCAATGTTGGGAGTTTCAGGGTTCTGAGTCTGTCCTCGTAAGAAAGGTTGCTCAACCCCGGGACTCTTTTTGTGGCCCTTTTTTGGACTTTCTCTAGTTCAAGCATCAAGTTTTGTCTGTACGGGGACCAAACAGAGGCTCCATATTCTAAATGTGGCCTAATCAGGGCTTTAAAAAGCAGGAGAAATACTTCTTGATCGATAAACTG